TTKWGMSCCMSMRCMMCAMAAAAAAAAAAAAAATAAGAGTACCATGTTTTAATGGTAATACTGCATCAATTCTGAAGGCATATGCAGCAATGGAGAAAGGGAAGAAAAACAAAAAACAAAAAGTTATATGGTTAGTGTCTTTAAAAGTCTAAACATTTAAATGATTAATTAAAAAACCTCACATAGTTCACAGCTATTGGCCTACACAGTAAGCAAATATCTGCATGTGGGTTGAGAGCTTTTGCTTTGGAGTGGTTTTTGTTAACTCTGTTTACATTAAAAAGGACAAAAAGTGTGTTTGTTGCTTTGACAAGGTCCCATTCTTTCCTATGGAGTGCAACTGTCATTGTCCATGAGTCTCTCGAATTCGAGGTCTTTCCTTCTGATGAAAATACTAAAACTTTGCTGGTTTTTGAGCAGGAGCGGTGATATTTCATCCAGTCTTTGTAGATGAGAGGCTTATGATGTTATTACCCCTCAATTCTCCCTTTTAAGAGAGGATAGCATTAGAGCGCTGAATACCAATGAAATTATCAGCGCTGAAAGACCTTCTCATAGCAGCTCTACATAAGTCTTTGTATTTGTCTTCACACAATCTTGAAATGGCCTAGGAAAGTCAATTAGAACACAAGTAGAATTTTTAAAAAGATTCCAACCTTAAAGGAAAAACACAAACTGATGTTAAGCCACACATGCAGACTCCTTTAGATAACTTCATAGTTGTAGCTACCTTGGCTATAAGGCTTTATAGCACAAGATTCTGGATATGCTACTTCCTATAAATTATTTTAAGGGCCAGGAGAACTTTATTATTATTTAAAAATTGAGTTTCCAAAGATGTCAAAGATGCTATGAAAGGCTCCTAACAGCAGTATCATCTGTTACCTCTGTGAAACAATCGGTATTCAGTTTTCAAATTCTACACATCTTCATTAGTTATTATATATTCTAAGCAAATTACAATGAGGCAGAATAGAGGGTAGAAAAGGTGCTACTTTGCTTGCACATTAATTATGATAGAAAAACATAATTCTAAGATATCACCSAAATTATCACAAAAGGTGCCATTTTAAAGTTATGTGTCACTTTCGTGGTGAATGATTTTTGGTGTATACTCACCAAAAGTCAACAAATATTACTTTAAGTTACCACCCCACTTAAGTTACCACCTCTATTAGAATCCTATTTACTTCCTACATCCAGTATTTGAAACACCACACCCCATTCCCCGAACTATAGGCCTCTTAGCAGAGCCACTAACTCTAATAAACTCATGGAATTGAACTGTGATTAATATAAACACTAACATAAATTTGCAAACTGAGTAATGACAACTGAGTCACAAGTGAACCATAATATGTAAATATAATCAGGGACACAACTATACAAGTGCAAGGAATTACTTGTGCATGGTAATGTAGAAGGGAAGAGGTTCAAAAGGAAAAGCAAAGAACAGATTTTCTTTAAAAATATTCTGGATTATGGTCATAGAGGAAATAATGCCTAATTTTTAAAAAGTAATGTGGATCCTAGCATAAACTATGGAGGACTCAAGAAACATGATACCAGAGTTAATACTCTTCAAAATGTGTTAATTTAAAAGTTTACCATTTTCCTAATCACTACTTAATATGATTTAGTCCTAGATACTGGCTTTGGTGGCTGACAGAAAGCCCCACTTAGCGAAAACACAGGCTCACCTCTAGGTTTTGTGCTCTTTCTTTGCTGAGAGGAGCAAACAGAAAATTCAGGTTGTTGTCATCRGCTAAGGAGCGAAGGTCAAAGTAGTATTTGGCATAAACACTGGCAGGAACATTAATATTAAACTGGAGTAGCTCCAAGAAATGCCTTTCCATCTCATTCCTGGAGGAGGAGGAACAAAACAAAACCAAAACCAATACAGGACAATTTTAGTCAACTGGACTATCTTCAAAAATGTCATTCTGAGCTTCTAGGATAGCTCTAAATTCTGTTTTGAAACAAATAAAGGCTACTCAGCTGGATTAATACACTAACGTTCAAACAAGGTACAGCTATTTGTAGTCCTTTCTGCATCCCAGCACTTTGAGTTTGGGCTGAGGGGAAAAGGTTACGGCCCTCTCATGCACTCGTGCTGCTGACTCGGGGGCTCATTCTTCAGAGTTCCATTAGTGCAGCTGTACGATTCATACTCCACGCTCACTCACAAGGCCCCACTATAGTGAGCAGATGAAAGGAATGATGTATGCTGTTTATTAGCTCTGAAGAACTTGCAGACATTTTCACCGAGCTGATAACAGGAAGGGGCTTATTGAAGTAGAGAAGCACCAACAAAAGAAGTGGGCACATCACCACGGCAACAAATGGATCCATCGAGAGCCACCGCTATTATCTCTGAGGGGGGAAAACTCTTGAGGCAACAAGGATTCATCTCAAATAAATAAATAAATATGCTACATTGGATGGGAAAGGAAATCCACCCCTCCTTACCTCAGTGCATGAGGCTATGTCAAAGGGCATAATGCACATTTCTGCTCACCTTAATATTACTAAGGTGACAAACAGTCACTATGATAGTCAAGATACTCATTTTAAAACTTTGGAAGGCACGAAGATCAAAGTAGATGCCATGGGTAGACAAATCCCACTTTAGGATATGACCTCTGGCAGAACAGTGGASTTGTAAACTGTGTTTTGAGAATGAAATCCCAAGATGCTCAGCACCTGCCAGCTCTTGCCAGAATGGAATGTACACACATGAGGACAAGTTTAATACAGTGGGAAGGAGAAGGGTTGAGAGCAGTCCTCTGCTATATGACCATATAGCTGCCCCTGCTGAAGGTTTAAATCACTAAACATAAACAGAGGAAATCCTACATTCTAACAGTTTTAATTGCATAAAATAATAAATACTTGAACAGACATGAGAGGTTCAATTTATACAATTGAGTTTCCTGGTTTTAAATTTTTAATATTTTATTCACTGGCCACATCAGAAAATGTGTGATGTTCTCCTGTGTGGAGAGCAGGTAGACTATGAACAGAGACATGATTTTCTCAATTGTTGAAATTAAAACCAAACTGAACCGACTTCCAAAATTAATTTCCTGTTCGTATGGCAATAAGTCCATAGAAATGTAAATCAGATAATGTTTTGATAATCAGCTAATCAGGACTTAATTTACTACAGGAATAAATGCACTTCACTATCCCTTTTATATTTTCTCCACTAATACATTTTAACTGTGCAGAAATACAGTACTTCATGGGATTAACATGTCTATTAATAGAGGTTTTAATCACTGAAGAAAAGCATTATGCATCTTTCTAGGTTTTTTGTTTTTTAAATGGCTGAATAGCATACCATTTACAGGCATAGCAAATTTTCTGAATAGCAGCTGGTCAATTTAACTTATTCTTTAGTATATTTTAACAAAACACATAGATGGTAGAAAGTTTTAAAAATTTGAGACACTGATTTTTAACTTTCTCATTGCAGACTTAAAAATGAGACCATTAGAAACAGTCAACAGCAGGGGGATGAGACAAATGTATATTAAATACTTTGTTGTAATGCCTTCTAGTTTCCAAAGATCATAAACAAAAACAGCCTCGCAGGAACATGGCTCCTGGTGTTTCTCTGTTCACACAGAAAAGGTGTTGGAAGAACTGATGTTGCAGCTAGCGCCCCTGCTGCCATCACTGCTCCTGGGGCTCCCCATCTGTGGAAACTGACACATTTCCCTGCATCTTCTCTGATCTTATCACTAGACCCAGAGCCTCAGCCAGTTTAGTTACAAGTTTTGAGTATATTTCAGCTGCCATTCAAGCAGGATTGTTGTTCATGATTACAAATTTTGCTTCCTTCAAGGAATCAGTCTGAAAACTGATGACAATATAGTGATCAAAGGCACTTTAGCTTCTTCAACTTCCAAAAATACTTCCCATTGTTTCAGGTTCTTTTATTGTCATATCCTCTGCTAAGATAGTACCAGCAATATCACCAGGACTACTCARCTTGCACTATTATCAAAGTAGTATTTTCACCAACAGCCACTTCAAACACTCCTAAAAACCACTGGTCCCTTCTCAGTCACAAGTGTCATCACTCAGCAGTATATATAGTTTAGTAGTTTTGAGGGAGTCTAGGTAAGGCAAAGGTAACAAATATGAACTCCTGCCATAATCTTGATCTTCCTATGATGCTCAATATAACCAGTGATGCTGCTTTCCATTTTCCTAAATGCCACCCACAAAGACATTTTTCCTTTGAGAGTCTGCTGGAAATCTCTCTATTGTTCATCCTGCCTACCACCTACAGGGCCCTAACCTTCAGTCAGCATGGCCAGATTAGAAGCCCTTGTTTCACTGGTGTTTCTGTGCCATGCGTGAGGAGCCCTATGACTCAGCAACACTCCCTGCACTGTTACTTCATTCTCACAAACTGCTACTGTGGCTCTGACTGGCTGTCAGTGTGATAAGCACTGAATGATGCCCTAGTAATGCTTTYTGGGACTGCCTGATGGGAATCCTAGAGCTTCCTAGCCCATGAGAACAATTTCATTCTTTTCTCTTTTTTTGGTACTAGGGATTGAACTCAGGGGCACTCAACCACTGAGCCACATCCCCAGCCCTATTTTGTATTTTATTTAGTAACAGGGTCACACTGAGTTGCTTAGTGCCTCATTTTTGCCGAGGCTGGCTTTGAACTCGCRATCCTCTTGTCTCAGCCTCCAGAGCCACAGGAATTACAGGCATGCACCACCAAGTTTGGTTCATGAGTCCAATATCTAAACATATGCAACACTCCTAATGAGGAGGAAGCAAGAGCACAAGGATCTAAAATCTTTATTTTTGTATTTCATTGTTTCTGTAACAGATTTTCAGATAAAGGGGGGGGGGCACAAAAGCAAATATATAATGTGTGACTCAGGTTGAAGATATAACTTGTCAACAGTCCAGAGGCTACTTATTTCAAAAATCAAGACTTGCACCCCTTTAAAAAGCACTTGAGGCTGGGGATGTGGCTCAAGCGGTAGCGTGCTCGCCTGGCATGTGTGCAGCCTGGGTTCGATCCTCAGCACCACATACAAAGATGTTGTGTCCGCCAAAAACTAAAAAAAAAAAAAAAATTAAAATTCTCTCTCTCTTTAAAAAAAAAAAAGCACTTGAAAGACAGTTTTTAAAAAGCCATGTAAGCATGGCACTATGGCGCAAGCCTGTAATCCCAGTAGCTTGGTGGGGGCAGAGGCACGAGGATCACGAGTTCAAAGCCAGCCTCAGCAAAAACAAGGCACTAAGCAACTCAATGAGACCCTGTCTCTAAATAAAATACAAAATAGGGCTGGAGATATGGCTYACTGGTTGAGTGCCCCTAAGTTCAATCACCGGTACCGTACCCTATACCAYCCCCCAAAAAAGCCATGTAATTTTATAATGTTCCATGTTGTTCTGGGAGTAAACTTATAACATGTTTGCCAAAAACCACTAGAAAAATACTTTTCAACATCAATACAATAACACATAAGGTCCTACCAATTAATGATAGAAACTTATGTATTTTTATGCCTACTTCCAGTATTTTCAAAAGGTAACGTCTAAAAATATTTCTTAAAATGTAAACTTCATGGGAGCAAATGAGATACTAGAAACTGAGTAAGATTCACCAAAACCTTACAAACTCACATGTCCTCAACTGTAATGTCCTTGAGGATTTGGCAGTAGTCCACATTCCATACAGCCTGATCGTCCCAAACCTTGGAGGCAAGAAGAATGGCTCCCAAAACGATTCTTTTCCAGTTGGTGGGACAAATGTCGATCTCAGCATAAGTTAAAAGCCTTTCTAAGTAGACCTGCAAAAGTAGAGCACTAGTCTTTGATTTTAGTTCAGTTTAAGTGTTCTGTTAAGAAGTTGTGAATGACAAATTTCCTCTGTGTTTGACAAGTAAGTACCTTTTTTTTTTTTCAGAATTTTTTAATCTTTTTTTTTTTTTTTTAGTTTTTCGGCAGACACAACATCTTTGTTTATATGTGGTGCTGAGGCTCGAACCCGGGCCGCACACATGCCAGGCGAGCGCGCTACCGCTTGAGCCACATCCCCAGCCCAGTACCTTTTCTTTTTGAGTTCTACAGAGACTTTCGCTTAGGTAAAGCAAGAGACCCAAGCATAGCTATAAGTTAGATACCTCTGCTGTTTACTCTGCCCATGCAAATTTCCATTCCAATTCTGGTCATAGGAATGACTGGCAAAGGACATCCTGAAAAGCAGCACTGTTATAACCTTCACATGCATAAAGGGCACCCACCACGCACAGGCCCAGATTCAAGTTGTTCAGTAAAGACCTAGTGACCCCCAYGTACAATTACAATACCTAGCTGATAGTTTTATAATGGTTTTACAGGCAGATCATGCTTGAATATGGAAGTACCCAAGATGTATAAGAGCACATTTTAATCTTTTTTTCCCCCAACAATAACTAGCCCTTTTATGGAGCTAGTTGAAAATAAGAACTGGGGGGCTGGGGATGTGGCTCAAGCGGTAGCACGCTCGCCTGGTGTGCGTGTGGCCTGGGTTCGATCCTCAGCACCACATACAAAACAAAGATGTTGTGTCCGCCGAAAGCTGGAAAATAAATATTGAAAAGAAAAATTCTCTTAAAAAAAAAAGAAAAAGAAAAGAAGAACTGGTGGACAAGAGAGCCTCCCAGTGGTTGCTGAGAGAGCAGCATATTAGGTGCAGGTCTTTATGGCAGTTCAGTTTTCTCTGAATTCAGCCCCTTCTAAAAAGAAAACACATGTACAAAAGGATGGTCATTCTCATAGTCCTTATTTTTCATATTTCCACTATTATTTCATGAAAATTCATTTTCTCTCACATATTCTGCATCTTACTCAATTCCATTGGTTTTAAGGTGGTTCAAAGCTGCAGGTCTCTGCATCACTGGGACTCCTAAACCTTCCCAGGCAGTTTGAGAGTTTCATGAGTTATTTTACACATATCAAACATCTAATCCACAAAGAACTGGATTAAGTTAACAGCTGAGTAAAGATCATTCAGGAAAGTGGTCTGTTTTCACTACAAATGGTGCTCTGCAAATATACAATTGTCCCTAGGTACTGGCTGAGGGTTGGTCCCAGGACCAAATCTAATCAGATACCACAATTTGCAGATGCTCAAGCACCTTATATAAAACCTTTGCACATCCTTCCACATATTTTAAATAATCACTGGATTACTTACAATACCAAATACAATGTAAATGCTAAGTAAATAATAACTGTTATACCATCCTGTTTAAGGAATAATGACAAAAAATAAAGACAATTTTCCCCAAAATATTTCTGATTCAAAACTGACAAATCAGATGCAGAGCCCACAAATATGGAGAGCAGTCTATATGCTATTTAAAAACAGGAAAAAAAATCCCCTTTTAAGAGTATGTTTACTGTCTGAAGGTTATAAGACTGACAGTTCAGATTTGGCAATGTTCTCTAACTCGACTGTTTTAAAAAACAAATGGTTATTCAACATTAAATATTCTTAAGGAGACCTCTTCTCATTTTCCAAAACTTGGCATTCTGAAGTATCCTAAGAATGAACCTCCTCACAGGGTACAACTTTCTTATGAAATAAGTAGCAATGAGACAACACTGGCAATCTCTCAACCTTTATTGATCAGCCTGTTCTGTGCTGACACTCATTTACCCCATTAGCCCTGCTRTGTCAGTGGAAGAGAATTCTGTCTTGCCAGTGAAACCAACTCTTCTGTTAGTGCAGTTGACCCCATCCCACTTCTGTAGAACACTGTTCCCAYGATTACCTTTTGAAGACTTTGTCTCTACCAGAGGTTTTCCCCCAATATAAATGTGTTTACACTGTTTCCTCTCCACTCTCCACAACACTTCCTCTCTGTTCACTGCATCATGCCCTTGCCAGATCCTTACCTCCCATTCTCTCCCACTTTCCTCTACCCACTGCTGCCATCATTCTAAGAAACTACTCTTAAGGATCAGTGCTTTCAAACTTGCAAAYCAGAGCCTTTTATCCCAAACCTCAACACCCCAAGTCTTCCTAATATTGGATAAAGGCACTGTCATTTGCCTAGTATAGGGCCAAAAACCTACATTTGAGTTATCTTACTCCACTGTTAGCAACTCCTGTAGTCTCTACCTCCACTGGTGGTCTAGAAGCTTTCTATCCTGACCTGCCATTTGTCATCGCTCACCTGCATGACTCTGCTGCCTCCTACCGTTCCTCTCTGACCTTCAAYTACCTCTACTCTACCCAAAGCAGTCAGGAAAAGCTCTTGCATTAGGTACACTTCACTCTCCTATCTCAGTCTACCAAAGTTACCCGTTAGCCTGAATTTTAACTTCTTTTGGAAGCCAGCAAGCTATAAAGAAGGCCCTGGGAAACTGCCAGTGTAAGTTCATCTCTCCTCTCCCTAGTTCTTCCCCTCATTACTCACTCTCACCACCCGCTGCCCTACTATTCCTTGAGCACATAAAACATGTTACTGCCTCACAGCCTTGGCACTTGCCCTGCTGCAATCCCCGACCTTTTTGGCTTCCTTGCTTCAAGTCAGGTTGCTGATCAAATATCACCTCTCCAATGAGGCCCTTTCTAATCATTCCACCTGAAACAGAAACCTCTCTAATTATTCTTCTTCTTGGCATTTGCCACTATGGGAAATATTCCTAAACCTGAAAAAATACTTGAAGTCTTCCTCACCAGAATATAAGCTCATGAGGACAAGAACTTTGTCCAATCTGTTCCCCTTTGCCCCAGCACTAGAATAACAGTACAAAGTAGATACCAGAGAGTACATGTGAAACTTCATTTTAACCACAAAGCTTCTCTTTGTCACTCTCCCCTGGTTTTCCTCATATTGCTATAGCCACTCTATTGGACACTTGCACCTTAAATGTTGATGGTAGATCTGTGGGGACTTTCTGTCCAMTTTTCATTGTATACATTCTCTGCATTTGAACAGCCACTTTTAATTACTTACCTCTAATTTGGATTCATGTTCCAATCCTGGATATCCTACTAATGATTACATATTGCCACTCTGCTATCTCATAGGGACATCAAACTTATCTAAAATGAGCTACCATTCTTCAAACCTGTCTCTCTCCTTCCTGCATTACCTACTTCTACATATAGAAGAGACCTCTGAGCAGTTTCTATTGAAGCACACAGCAAAACCCCATCTCTCTCCTTCCTACATTATCTACTTCTACATATAGAAGAGACTTCTGAGCAGTTTCTATTGAAGCACACAGCACAACCCTCTTCTCTAAATTCTAATTGGATGCTAAATGATAGAAGTGTCAGGTCACATAATTGACTTTCCACTATGCGTTTGTAGGGAGTCAACCACCTGAATAGCAGTTACTCAAACTGATGAAGTCCTACCTTTGAAATTCTATATGGATGAAGCAAAGATAAGAACAAAGCTATAGCTTAGCAGGCTAACAAAGCCTAAGAACCACTGATACTACCATTCTGGACAACTTTGTGAGCAGACACATAATTCAACAGGATGGATTAACACCCATTACCCAAGGATCAGAGAACTGAGGGCAATAATTCAATCATGACACACACTGGAATTGTCTGCAGAATACAGCCTAGGATATGGCTCAGACTTGCACTCAATCAGTCTCTGTGCACCACATGGTTTTGTTATTGCTCCCCCATAGCATGCCCTGTAGGTATTGTGCATACTGCATGTGCTGTAGGCACTGAGGTGTCGAGGGGATCTCTTCTATTACCTTTAATAATAATTCTTTTGTTATAAGAAATGCATAAACCATCATGATTACTAAAGTCAACTATGTGTTATTTACTTTCCTTTGATAAGTTCCTCTTAATAAAGTTCTGATGATAAATTTCAGGGACCTACTTTTATTTGTAAAACAAGACATTACCCTATTTACAAGACCAATTTCTAAACATGCTTAATAAATAAGAAATATCTTACCAACGTTACTATTGCACATTCAGCTGTTAGCTGTGCAGCACTAAAAAGAGTACGAACAAATCTGTAAATAAATTTGTGTTCAGGGTCATGCTTAAAGTACTCCTCTGGAACCTTTTCTCGCTGAAAGAAGAAAAGATGCAATGTAAGTTATCTGCTGAAGAAAACCACTCTTGAAGAAAAGTACTTTTAAGATAGCAGCCTTCACATTGTGCCAATGTATACCTTAAATAATTTTGAGTAGCATTTCTTTTAGTCTTTTAAACATAAACAGTGGGATCTTACAGTCATACGGTGTATAACACCTTTGTCAATGACAAACTGYATATTGGGATTAACAGGTCCCATAAGGTATAACCTAGTGACACTGCAGCCAAGTTAAGTCTGTGTGAATCCATTCTGATGTTCATACAATGATGAAATTAAGCTCTCTCAGAATATATCCCATTGTTAAACAACACATGACTGGACAAATTATTCAATAACCCATCACCATTTATTAAATTTTTWAAAAAGGGGGCACAAATTCAAGCTCAGAAAATTGATGTTCCTTTTTACTTTCCCTCCATAGAATTCTATCAAAATCTATTTCTAGTCTGAAAAGTTTCATTGATTATGTTATATTTCTCTGTAATAAACTTTGGAAAGACTTTAGTTTGCTGTAACCACAGGTTCCAAAGTCTCACTGTCCAAAACAATAGTAACCAGTCACAGTGACTGTTGAAAACTCAAAAGTGGCTGAGTTTTCTAATTTAAGTTTTGTGAGCAGACACAATAATTCAACAGGATGGATTAACACCCATTGCCCAAGGAACAGAGAACTGAGGGCAATAATTCTCAATCATGACACACACTGGAATTATCTGCGGAATACAGCCTAGGATATAGCTCAGACCTGCACTGAATCAGTCTCTGTGCACCACATGGTTTTATTATTGCTCCCCCATCAGCATGCCCTGTAGATATGAGTGCATACTGCATGTGCTATAGGCACTGAGGTGTCAAGGGGGATCTCTTCTATTACCTTTAATAATAATTCTTTTGTTAAAGAGAAATGCAGTGGCATCATTTTAAACCATCATGATTACTAAACTCAACCACTTGTTACTTTTTCTAATTTAAGTTTTCTAATTCTCTTCAGAGATTTTACACATTTGTTGGGTTTATTTACAAATATTTATATTGTTTGATGCTACTGAAAAGTATCTTTTAGCAAAGCTACATTTTCTCTTATTGGGTGGTACATTTACTCACCTTAGCTTATTAAACAAAGCTACAAGTCGGTTCTTACTTTATTATAGACCTGACAAAACACTTTTTCTAAGACAATTAGATACAGCATGAGGTGGGAAGGAAGATGATTTTGACTTCAAGCTGAAGGGAGTGATTTTCTTCTAGTAATTAATCTCAAAGCAAAGCAGCACAAAATGAACAACCCTTTGAGAGGAAATAGTTAAAAAAAAAAAAAGTGATACTTACTGTGAGTGGATGTGATCTCTCATCAAATATATCCAGGGATCTATTTGCATCTCTATAAAATAAAAATGTACATTTAAAAATTTATTCAGGARTTGTTAATATCTTACTAAAATATCTGCTAAGAATAAAGAAGGGGTTGGAAGGAGCAGCTTATCCTTCAACAAAGCAAATAGTTTGACAAATTATTTTCCTGGATTCTAGTGTTAGGACCTCTTTTTACTCAGCAAATGAAGTACTGTAAAGCCTTTTCTACAATAACCAGGTAGAGCCCATAAGCAATGACGCTCCCAAACAGGCAATGCCAATTAATCAAATATATTTTCACTTCTCTTACAAAGCAGTAGTGGTGGGAAATCAAGTCTTGAGAACTTTAATGAACATAAATGGATTCAGATTTTCTAGATTTTTTTCCTCTTTAGTTTTCTATTATATTATTACCATATATTTCTAGTTTCTTCTAGTTTGAGTTTAAAAGTTATTGCCTGTCTTTTTATTTTAAGACATCAGTCTTTTCATTTTAAAACTAAACAATACACTGCTCAAACTAGTGGTTCTCTGTGGTCTGTGAAACTCTGGAGATTCCCTTGGTACTTTCAGGAGGCCCGTGAGGTCAAAACTGTTCTTATAAGAATATTAAGACATTACTTGCATTTTCACTGYTGAACACTTGCAATGACTATAAAAACAAAAGTGAGTAAAACTACTGATTTCTCAGTATGAATGATACTAAGAGTCATTCTATTCTCCACTGCCACTTGCAGTTAAAAAATAATAATCCTGCTTTACAAAGCATGTTCTAGATGAAACAATAAAAAATAATGTCACTAAATCTTGACCTTCTTTTTAATATTCTGAATAAGTTGAAAGTTCACCTAAAGCTTCTGCACACTGAAGTAATAATTGTGTTAAGAAAAAGCACTTGTGATTTAGCTGTGAGCTGAACAAACTGCTTATCATAGAATACTATTTTTATTTGAAAAGATAAAATATTCTCAAAAATGAAGAGTGAGGCAGGCATGGTGGCGCACACCTGTAAACCCAGCAGCTCAGGAGGCTGAGGCAGAAGGATTGCAAGTTCAAAGCCAGCTTAGGCAAAAGCAGGGTACTAAGCAACTCAGTGAGACCCTGTCTCTAAATAAAATACAAAATAGGGCTGGGGATGTGGCTCAGTGGTTGAGTGCCCCTGAGGTTCAATCACCGATTACCAGCCCTTCCCCCCCACCAAAAAAAAAAAAAAAAAAAAAAGAAGAGTGGGCCTGTCATTTCAAGGAAAATAACAAGTATTCACTGCAAGGATAAAATTTGGGCTGTCAAGGTGAGACCAAGATTTTTGAAAACCTGTACCTTCTGCTATAGACTTGACAGTTTCTCAATCCCTTGAGACTTTTTTATAAGATTGGAGGCAATACTAATGAAAGTGAGTTCTTCAAAACTATGAAGAAATGTGAACTAACACTTTCCAAATGATTACCACGATATTATAAAATCATGCACTGGTCAAAGATTTATTCCTTCTGYAAGATACATCAATGACTACTAATATAACATGTTCATTGATACAAATCAAAATTTCACTGTAACTAATTTAAGAAACTAACTTTTTATAATGTTTTAGTGTAATGTTAAAGGGTATCCACAATTATCTGAAAGTTTTAAAAATACAACTTTTTCCAAAATTAATATCTGCATGAGACTAAGTTATCTCATTGTTTCTTCAAAACAAACTGCAAACAAAGTCAGAGAAAGGTGAGAATCTAGTTGTCTTCTATTAGGCTAAATATTAAAGAGATTTGCCAAAGTGTAAATTATATCACACTTCTCACTCAACTGAAAAAGTGAAGAAAAACTTAAAATTATAGAGAATAACTATTTTTCATGATAAAAGTTAATAAGGTGGTTCTTTAATATTTTATATATATATATATTTTAGTTGCAGTTGGACACAATACCTTTATTTTTTAATTTATTTTTATATGGTGCTGGGGACTGAACGCAGCACCTCATACATGCTAGGCAAGCTGCTCTACGGCTGAGCCCCAGCCCCAGTCCCAATAAGGTGGTTCTTAATCAGAGATGATTTTGTCCCTCAGGGACAATTTTTAGTTGTCACAATGTGTGGGGGGGATGCTACTGGTATCTAGTGGGCAGAAGACAATGATGCTGTTAAATACCCTACAATGCACAGCACAGTCTCCACAATAGGGAATTATCTAGCTCAAAATATCAACAGTATCAAGGTTAAGAAACCCTGTATTATTGTATATATAAATATATTTAATTCTCAACTTAAATTTCTAAAACAGTAAATGTCAACATAATTCACAGAAATAGATACTCTGGAATTTTAAGAGAGTTCTGAGAACAAAAAGAACAAAACTCCAAATGATACATCTCAAAATTGTAATAAAAGCACTCTACAGCTTATAATGTTTTATAGTTATGACCTATTAACTATATATCATGCAAAGTAATTAACTAGAATAATAAAACAGGTTTTTAAAGAGCTCACCTGTTCTTTATGTGGTAATATATTGCTAAGGTCACACTGTAGAAGGAAAAAAAATATTTTAACAACTTATCTGTTATAGCTGACATTTTTTTTTAAAAAGGTATAGGGGACCTTCCAATCAGCCCTGAAATCCTCCAGTTCAGAACAGTACCATTGGGCATTTTACCCTTTATTTAATTCTGTTGATTATTACATACAAATTATTAAATATCTTCCCTGTCATTTGCCCGTCTACCCACAGAACCTTTCATTCCATGCGAGTTGTATTTGTCCACACGCTTAAGTTTAAGCCATAGCTTTTTTTTTCCCCTTGAAGTTAGGCCCAGCATTTCAATTGATTTAGTTACCTTACCCATCTACCCACCATTTTTTATTACCCTAAAAGTAAAAAAGTGAAAGTGCTATACACCAGATAAAATTACTTTTGCACTACTAGTAGAAAATTAGTAAGTGCCCACAAAAGATGAAAATAGGTCTAGCCCATCTTGAATAAGCAGTGCTGACAACGTAGCATAATACTGAACAGTATAATATTAATGGCAGATATTTCCAAACTGGAATAAGTGAAATATTAATAAACAGACAACTCTTTACACATTATGTTACTGTATTCCTAAGTTATCCAAAGATTCTTCGTATTAGGAAAAAAAGGGTTCTCTTAGGTAAATTTGATTCCATTTGCTCTGTCTAAAATGAAGCTCAAAATGAGGGAAGGCAAATCTGAATTTTAAAAGCAGGTGTATACACTATTTTAAATTTTAAATTTAAAAAAAACAATATTACTGGCATCAAAGATGGATACTTCTATAGTGCTTCAAACAGTTTTATTTCCAAAATTGATTTTAAAATCACAGAATTTGATGTTATATGCTGAAAAAGGACCACTAAACCTTATATGGCATTTTCATCCAACAACACATTGTACAAATAAAGGGGATGAAGGCTTAAATATGATTTGCCCAAGGTCCCACCGAACAATCAGAAACAGTTTTCTATACTCTTTAATAAGCAGTGGCTCCCAAACTTCGCTGCACATTGGAATTGCCTGAGGAGGTTTAAACAGACCTGACCTCTTGAGACATTCCAATTAATTGGGCATTAAGAATGATTTTAAAGTTCCCTAGGTAAGTGCAATGTGCAGCAAAATTTGAGATTGACATAGGGTTGAGATCAGAATCACCTGAATGTTTTGTGCACTTTATATCCACCACCAGTTTCCTAAAARGCTTGTGTCTATGGATGAAGGGGAAAAGGAAGGTGGGAAAATGCATGTTTGTAGAAATGTATTCTGAAAAAAAAATCGCATAGGTGATTCTAAGAAGGCTTAGAATTCCCTTAAGAACATTCCCTTAAGAACAATGCACTAAATCCATGAAAAACATTTTTCAGAATTTTCCTAAAAGTCAATTTGCCCTATTAATTCTCTCAATAAATCTTTCTTTCACCAATAGTGAATGTACTGAATGATTATTTTTAGAATTTAATGAAAGAAACTAAAACTTACTGTACTTCCAAACACAAGACTTCTAAACAACAAACTCAGTTAAGAGATCAAAAAGCATGAAACCTACATGTGTTAGCAAGGTTATTCTTTAAAATTATATTCTGAATTATACACTGAAACATCAGAATCTTTTGAATTCAAAAGAAGCTGAGGGTTCTAGCCAATGTAGAGTGGTTTTTTAATCATGGCTATTTAGGGCTGAAAACATTCAGTGATTACTTAATAGATGCCAAATCTCAGAAAGGGCTTAGTTTTTGCTGAAACACAAGTCAATCTCAACTACTGTTATGTGTGTGAGAGAAAAGTTACACTACTGTAAGTGTGAACTTGCAGTTTTCAACTGAAGTAGAAGTTACTGATAATTTAATTAGCTAAGAAATTAAAAAGCTGGTATATTAGAAATAAAATAAGGCTAATCAGGCTTTTTAGACTAAAAAGTAAAATTAGGGATAAGAATATTAACATTCTAAAAAAGCACTTTCCAAACTATGTTCTAAAAAATCAATGCTCACATCCCAAGAAGTCATTAATAATGTTCCCTGGACAACCCCAACATCATGGGGGAAGCTCTCTACCCGGTTTTTGTTGATGTCATTTTAATAAGTTTAAAAGGTTCATCTTGGAGTGTTTTGAAAGTGCATCTTTTATTTCAAATGCCAATATGCTTTGGTGCCAGGAGTGGACTAGATAGTCCTTCCTCCTACAGTAGTTTCCAAAGTATTTTAGATATGAAACTCATAACTATTTTTTTCCAGAAACATCTGATAAAAAGCACCTCTTCTTATGTTCAATAGTGTCTTAACAACATAAATGCATCAAATAAAGAGGKACACTTTTCCTGAGATTCCTTATTTGCTAACTGGCTTTCCCTTTCACCAAAGTCTGAGATTAAAATGGAAATTGAAAACTCACATTTAGGTCCTTAAAAATCAATGTATACTTGACCCCAATTTTGTAAACTGAGCACTAAAAAGGACAGTCAATAGCTGAAATTACCAAGTATGGCTGGGATGCTTTTAGCAGAAAGGGGTCTGTCACTCAGCCCTTGGCAACCTAGTTGTACTCACCATTTTATTGTGGTTCTAAGATTAGGCTGGCTGACTGTGCTGTCATCTAGAAATATTGTTGAGCATGAGCTATACTTTTTAGTAAGCTGCCCTGGAGATACCTGAAGGGGAGGGAAATAGAAGAAAATGTCACAGTAAGTTAAATCTATAAAATGTGTTTATTTTCCTTGGTTAAAATGTCAAACGATAAAGCATTAAGATATTTCTTATACTCTGTGAATTGCCTGAGTGTGATATCATGTGTGGCTCTACAGGAAACCCATTGGAGGTTCTTAACTTCACAGATGATGTTTGAGGAATGGATTATAAAATGCTGCCCTTGGTATGGTACCTATAATCAAACCTGGCAAGCATCTATTATGAATTAATTCCCTTAATAAATACTGGAAAAAGTTTAAAATAAGATTTCAGTGTTTTCCTCTTAAGCAATAAAAAGCAGTTGAGAAGGTTCTGTTTCTACTATTTAGTAACTACAATACAATGTAATGCCTTAAATAATACCAGCACAAAAGCATTGTGCTGCACTAAATGAAAGCCTAATACCAAATTTACTGATTTGCTAGTACTAAGTGTCTAAGTGTAATTACACAAATGTTTTGGAATCAGAGGCTATGTGCCAGGGCTATTTAATCACTAACAAGGCTTGGGACCATAGGTCTGAGTCTATTCTCATATGTAGAGGGTAAAATTATTGCCTTAAGATTCTTTCACATCCAAAATTAGATGATAAAAACAACTTTGGGAATTTAGCTTTCACTTCACTTTTAAGTAGATTGCCATTACATTACTTATAAGAAAACCTCAGCCATTCATTCAAGATTTTATTTAGTTTATTCTCTTATTTGATCCACATCACAACACCTCCCTGCTTCATTAGTGTTACTCTCAGCCCAAAGTCTTTTTCTTCCTTGTCCCAGAAGCTTGACTCCTTCTACCTTCTGGGATACCTTTGCCAACAGCCACATCACAAAATTCATCCTCCAATTCAATACTTGCAGGGAGGTTATCTCCCACATAAGAAACTAAGCTGCTCCAAAAAAGGAGGACTCTTACTGCTCCTATCTCCAGCTGCTGAGCATAAAATTGGGGACAAGTTAGGGAGTTCAACAACTGTCTGACAAATTATTAATTAATAATCAATTACATGTTGGAAGACAAATCTTGCTACAGATACAAATTAGTGAAAATTTACCTGAAGTGATACTAAAGAGGTGACAATGAACTTTTTGAGGCCTCTAAGTAAACTATCATTAAAACACTTTAGAAGTATCCATTTAATTGCAAAGGGTAAAGAGTGCAAGGATATAGAGCAACAGTCAAATACTGAAACAGCCTAAACTACATTAAAACAATTCTCATCCTTAAAAAGCCAATACCGAATCTCATCACTGAATAGTTGAAGATTAACAGCAGCATTCTTTAAAAACCACAGATTATCAACAATTTTAATGTTTTTTTAAAATTAAAAAAAAAAGCTAATTCAGATAAGCCTTCCTTCCTCCTATCAATATAATGGTTTTCATCATGCTTTTACTTTCTCCCATCAGCAACCCCTACAAATAAATGAAAGATGGGACAGGGAGAAGACCTAGCTGAAAGTACAGAGCACTTAAAAGTCACCAGTAGTCCACAGTCAGAAATATCCATAAGGTACATAAAATTGCATTTTGCTTGTTTTAGATGTTTTTATGGCAAAGTCACTTTTTTTCCTTATTAACAAAAAGTGTCAGAAGTTATATTTTTGAAAAGTATATTTTGGAGGAATAAATTCTCCTTTTAACTAAAAATGTTTTAACTATATCTAAGTTTGGAYATGTTTCTTAAGCTATTCAGTTAATATGTATACTGTTGAAAAAAATCACTACACTGGAATAAAAAGAGGGGCGAAAATGAATCAAAATGTAGACTAGTTGGTAGAACTTCAGGTGATATTTTCTTCCATTTTCTCTATTTATAATTTTTTTTGTATCATGAATGTATGTATACTGGCTTGTCTTCAAAAACATTAATGCCAAGTCATTCAAAAATTTTTAATTAGATGTGGTCTTACAAACTATGAAAGCTCCATTAATGAATCAGCAACTTACTGGCTAGATCCAACCAAAAAACATTCATCACTTCCCTTTAGTCCAGGCTTACTCTAAACTGATAAAGACAGAGGAATCATTCATTTTGTAGGAAGAGTCATTTCTGTTACCTTCTCTCCCACTGTAATCAGGCCATTCCCAAATTTCAAGGTGACTAGAAAAGCTGAATGCAAAAACTCTCTGTTGCCAATATATAGCAAACGACATACCATCACTTCCAGCTATTCCAACATTTCAGTCTTGATGACTAGAGGGTGGCAGAACGAAGCCTCTAAGCAAAGCCTAGAATATAGCTGTCAACAAGTAACTTTCCCCTCAGCTTGCATGAAAAATTAGGACAACTTGCCCTTTATTGTTAAAACGTTACCACTGCTGGCTCATAACCACAAAAAAACTACACTGACAAACATAAGGATATAAAATACAAATACTAAAAAAAAAAAAAAAGAAAAAGAAAACATTTCTGACAGATGGTTACTAAAAGAAACACAAACAATAGCATCTTTCTTCTTCCAATCAGAACAAATGATAAAGTACAAAATTTTGTAATTCTTACAGGAAAGGGAGTACTTAAGTAGACTTAAGGTCAAATGGCAAAGACTAGRAAATAATACCTACTAATCTGGTAAATCATAACCAGAACCTTACCATCAAAGGTCAAGAATTTGTTGAAATCCTGTCCCCACCCATTGACTTTTCCCATTGTGCCTATAGCCGCTTATCTATTAAAAAACAAAAACAAAAACCTGAAATCCACCCCCATAATACATATTTGGGATATGTTTCTTTTTTTAATATTTATTTYTTAGTTTTAGGTGAACACAATATCTTTATTTCATTTCTATGTGGTGCTGAGAATCGAACCCAGTGCCTCATGCATGCTAGGCGAGCATACTACCACTTGAGCCACATCCCCAGCCCCTGGGATGTGTTTTTAAGAATCAATAACATTTAATCAACCTCAAATTTTCTAACACTTTATGCATTCATGAAAACTATTCCAACTTTTGTTGCACAGTAACAAGACAATACAGCAGGATGTGTGTTTGAAAGAATTCTAAAACATGGCCTTATATATGCTAATTACAGGTAAAACTTTTAAAAGTTTGGACCAATATCATTAAGCATATTGATTTTGTGCTTAGATATATACTTTAAATACAGGTTCTAAATTCATTTATTAAACATTGAAGATTGACCACACATATATACCCCTTTCCTCCTGAAATCTCATTAAAGGTATAAAATACAGGTTTATAGCTAAGACTAGGAGACAGGACAGAGAGATGATTTTTATTGTTTGAAATATTAAAGTAGATAAAAGAATAGTAACATGACAGAAGAGTAGAAATACAACTCTGGTGGCCATGAAGAATCAGTGGCAGGAATAAGCAAGCCAGTTTATCTTGCAGAACCCATAGAGACTCAGATTTCAGAGGCTTTTACAAAGCACCTTGGAATGAAACATAAAACAAAGATAAAGGAGGTCAATTGGAAATTTGTAGTTAGAACCCAAAGTCCATCTGTCCTCCATTTTATAGGGATCTAGATATTAATTCTCCAGATATATTAAACCTGACAGTTTCTGGGCTTAGAGTTACCATTCTCAGAGACACTATGGGTAAAACCTGGAAAATAAGAGGAAAAAACTACATACTCCACACCTCCCTTACCCAACTTCTGAAAAATAAGCAGCCATGCTTGTACTCCCTAGGTAGAAAAGTGGAAGATCCTTCTCTGAAGAAACTGAACTATCCAGAGACAGGGCGCCCCACATAATAAAAATACTGAGGTCCCAACAAATGAAAAGCTGGGCATGGCCTCCAAATCCTTGGAGTGAAATCCATCAGTTAACAAGTCCTTCTCATACATAGTGCTTCAAATCAGACAAAGTCAGGGTCTACCACACATTTGAGGCAAGCCTCGAACGAAGGATTTAGAAAAGGAATTCATGGGAGTGCTTGAAATTTAAGAGTAAGTGAAAACTCAAGACAAAAAATTCAAGAGAAGGGCTGAAGAATCTCTAACTAGGACAAAAAGACAACCAGAAATTGGGGAGGGAATAGAAATTGGACACTGGTGTAGGAATACTGTCAAAGAGGCCCAACATCTGAATGACAAGAATACAAGGGGGCAAAAAAAAAAGAAAATATCAATGAAATTACAAAAAAATTTTCTACAAAGAGCTAATCTGCAAACTAATGACCCCAATTAAAATGAAAAGGTTCCTAACAGCCAGGCCTGGTGGCACAAGCCTGTAATCCCAGTGGCCCAGGAGGGTGAGGCAAGAGGATTGTGAGTTCAAAGCCAGCCTCAGCAAAAGTGACTCATTAAGCAACTTAGTGAGATCCTGTCTCTAAATAAAATGCAAAATAGGGCTGGGGATGTGGCTGAGTGGTTGAGTGCCCCTGAGTTCAATCCCTGGTACCAAAAATTAAAAAGGTTCATTAACAAGCCATATCATTCAACTTCAGAATCCCCCAGATAGAGAAGATACTAAAGCTTTCAGAGAAGGTATAGGGGAAAATTACTAAAGTTGGTTATATATAATGTAAAATACAATGACAAAAATTTATAAATGAGGAGACAATAAAGAAATATCAGGACTGGGGCCGTGGCTCAGAGGTAGAGCACTTGCCTCATACATGTGAGGCACTAGGTGCAATCCTCAGCATCACGTAAAAAAATAAATGAATAAATAAAGATATTGTGTCCATGTGCAGCTAAAAAATAAAAAATAAAAAAAAGAAGTATCTTCACCACTGGAATAATTCGTTTCAACCTAGAATCCTACTTATACTTTTACCAAATAGGAGGAGCACATTTATGTGCCCTTTCCCAGGAAAATGTACAAGAGGTATAAGACAGAGGGAAACACAAAAATTACAGGATCCAATACAAGAGAGCAGTTATTTGAGATCCCAGATAACTTCAGAAAGATACCCCAGGAAAAATAGGCAGAGAACTGCTTAACAAAAAAACAGTCTGTTTTAGAGTAAAATGATAGAAGACTGAGAAGGGTTGCCTCCAGGAAAAAAGACTAAATAGATGTGATTTAGTAAAGGAAAATTTTTTTTATAGGCATGTGACAAATGTTAAAACATTTGGGGGGGAACAGACAAGTRAAAATAGGAAATTCCACAAAAAAATTGAAGAATATGAAAGCAAAGAGGCCAGTGAGGGGGCCACTTACTACATGTGGCTGTGTGAGTTAATGTTCATTAGGAAATGGCRGATTATTGCAGGAGGAATACAGAAGTGCTCAGACTTCAGAAATATCTTTTTAAGAGGAAAATTAAGGGTGAACAGGAGGTGGCACAAAGTACAATATGACAGCAGTGAAAAATATTTGCAAGTCAATGTAAATATCGATCAGTGATTTAATAATAAAATGTGATACATGTCAAGGAAATACAGCAGGGGAATAAGGTCACAGTGGAATGAGGAAGCTAAATTTTCACCTGCTATAAATTACAGGAAATCAACAGCTAATGCTAAAAACTGACTTAATAGTTTGTTACTTTAATTAAAAAAAAAAGACCAAAAAATTAAGGCAAAATATTTCAGGCATATCTTAATATCACAACCACGTTACTGAAATTTAACTGTCAGAAACCTCTAAAAACTGACATTACTAAGTCAAAGATTTCCCTGAGTAAATTTAATACTTAAGAAATTGGAGAGATTTAGAAAATCCACAAAAAGTGGACCCTGCTAACATTAATGAATCACCATTATATATATTTTTTAAAAAATCACAGTAGACATACTTTTAATTCACTATAAGTTTAACTGTTTACTTACATGGTTTAAATGGTTGCTCTTCCTCTTTTCACGCACTAAGAATAAAAAAAAATTAACTGATCAATTCTGGTACAAATGTCATAGAAAAATAAAAAGTAGCTAATTATCTGATGAATTACCAATATACAAAATGACAAAGTTAATTCTTTTTAAAAATAATTTCCAACAAAATTAATAATCTGAATTTTCTGGCAAGATAAATTTCATAATAAAAATCTAAAAACTTAGATCTACTATTTTACTAGCAGATAATCTATTACATATAAATGAGAGATTCTCCATATACAAAAGGGGTAAAACGAATTGAGCTAGGTAGGAAATATAGCTAATAAGATAGTACACATACTGCATACCTGAATCATTAAATAGTATTTTCTAGTTCTACATTTCCTTACCGCTTACTTTAATTACAAGGATCTAAGAGGTGATAGCTCTAGGAAACTGTTTTTGGCTAGGCAGCCATTTCTAGATGCATCTGAATCCTAGAAACATCCTGAACCACCTATTGATAATCTACCAAAATAAAAAAATTAATGGGCCTTTATACAATTGGAAAGTAGCCTATCTTAAATATAAATTTTTAAATGAGTGTGCTAACCTAATTGAACATGATTATCTATAGCACACTGATTTCATTATGCTCTAATTAAGGCCAGAAAAGTATATGCTCCTAAGAGGGACTTGGGCCACACTTTTGTTTCTCATACTGCCTCCTCCTTTAACGCTAGAAGGCACTATAGTCACACATTCCTTCCTACTAAAAAGAGCAGCAGGGATAGTTTTTTACTTCCTCACACTCTAGAATACAGTTCTTAAAGAAACTGAGACATAGCAATGCTAGTCAGAAATGGCCAGCTGAAGATAGGAAAAGTACACACATAGCAACCACTAATTTTTACTGTGCTACATTACCCCAAATGTAATACAGAACCCCCCACTTTTTATATTTTTCTTGTTGTAATAAACTAAATCAGTTTTGCCTTTAAATTTTTTGCTTTTTTACTTGTACATGGACACAATGCCTTTATTTATTTTTATGTGATGCTATGATAAAACCCAGTGCCTTACACGTGCTAGGCAAGTGCTCTACCACTGAGCCACAACTCCAGCCCCTCATTTTTGCTTTTTAGCAAAAAAAGGATTTGACCAAACATTAAGAAAAACAACACAAATGAAGAAAAATCCTACAGTTTTAATGGTTCATCCTAAAACAATCAGGACACATGAAATTTACACTAGTTTCACACACTGGCTAACCTCTTGGGAAACACCATAATTCATGTTTGTTCCAGTTTTTAATACATTAGGATGAAAAAGCTTTGAATGGCTTAAAAGTTCTGAGTAGGATAAATCAAGATGTGAGACAGGCTCATTTATTTAGAGGACTGTAAAATGAGCTCAAAATCAGATTCAATCCCCATATGTAAACAACTGATTTTTTAAAATTTGTTCATATGAAAACCTAATTAAAACCTAAATCATATTATTTATCTTTAAAACATGCTCTGAGGATCAAGGGGGAAGGTTAAAAAAAATATGGAATACTAGGTATAAATCAATGACCACTTCTAAATTGTGTGGCAACTGTCTTTATTAAGAGGTAACAAAGTGTATAAACACAAAGTCTACCTGTATTAATTAAAGGAGAGTATATATCATCACATATTAAAAAGTCATGTAGAATATATGTAACATTTAAAATTTTAAAGCAATGTAGGAGTTCTTCTAAATATTTTCTATGATATGCCATATAAAATAGTCCTTTCTTTGGTAGGGAAAAATATTGTCTTACCATAGGGAAAAATATTGTCTTACCATCTGTCTGAGATTTGCTCAGGAAAATTGTGCTTGCCCTTGGATGGTCAGAAGGGTTTGATTCCAAAGCTAAATCTATAGCGAAAAAGAAAGAGATGTGATAATTTAGTTCAATAAAAGAGTAGATGGTTTTTAAATAGATACATATCATGTTTAATCACTTTCAATAGTCTTAGAAAAAATTTTAGTTATGAACATGTAGGAAACAAGCAACAATATAAAAACACTACAGGATAACTGTAAAATCCTAGATTCTCTCCGCACATGTGGAGCAAAACCAGGCTAGGCTGGGTCTTAGACCTCTTTTTAAAAAAATAATTGATTGCAACTTTTAGATAAACCGTTTACAAGACCACCTCTTCTTGTCCTCCAGAAATGCAAGCACTCTTCTCTGTGCTGATATTACCAGCACATTTCAGGAACAGTCTCAACAAGTGATGCCCTGGCCAATTACTGTCAAACACTGGCTCAATATATCAAATATGCCAAAACAAGATTGTTTTGACAAATGTTTTTCAGACAATCACAAGGCTAATTCTAACTTCTTTCAACAAGTAATCTAGTTAGCTTTGGCTTATTTGTGGGCTATTCATCATGGCAGATATAAGAGGACTGCATAAAAATTCAATGTYCTAACCTACAAAAACACTTCCATGAAAAAAACTGATTAAAAAACAAAAACAGAAACTTCTGTCCTTAATTTCCAAGACAACACTCTTCTCTCTTCATTCTTAATCCCTACAGTCCACATTGGGAACAAGACGTGACAATCTATTTGGTCAAGACTATAAAACAGATTCATAAATTTTGTTTATACTTTGCCATCATGGGACAGCAAAAGTTGTCAGAATGTGGGAACCTACAACACTCCTCAGCAATGTCCACTCTCAAGCCATTTAAGATGGACCAAGATCTAAACAGAGTAACAGTAAGGCAATTATTTCCCAAACCATATTTTAGTAATTGTCCTACTTTAAAAGAAAAAAAAAAAAGAAATAGAAGGATTCAATGTCCAAATCACAAAACACTACCATCCAAGGCTCTTACAAAATCAAAATGTATACTGATATATTACTCAGTATATTTCACAAATTTGTCTACTTAAAATACTTTCTCCCGCTCCAAGTAATATTGTTAGAATCTTGCATGAACATAATTTGGGACTTCCTGATTTAATGGAAATCCAATTCATCCATTTTAATGGTACTGTCAGATCATCAGAAACTTACCTATTTAAGCCAACCACTCTGTCCTTCATGGAAATTTATTCACATAAGTTTATTAAACTGCTTTTGAAGAAAACTATTCTTATGTAAAAGACCCACAAAACAGTTTTTTTCACATGATGAAAGGATGATGAGACAATGTTAGCTATGTGGAAAAATAAAATCATGTGAGCACAGAATGACAAAAAGATTTTCATAGCTATCTCCCTAAAGCTTCTGAAGGGATTTGGGACTACTTCCTCCCCCAAATAAAGCAAATATATTACAATTTGAATTTAAAACATAATTTGCAGAATTATTAAAGTATCTTAAGTTTGCAGAAATAGCCATATTATATATTAACAATGTAATGATAAAACTTAATTCAAAATGTTCAATGGAAGTCTAGGGAAATTAAGTATCACAATTACAGAGGAGCAGGCTTAAAACACACACACACACACACACACACACACACACACACACACCCTAAAATCAAAATATGCTACTAAGAATATTAAACAACATTCAGAGAGAGGTATAAAAGAAATTACAACCCGCAGACAAAAAGCAAAATTAGCCCAAGTGACAAGCTGACAACTCTCTACCTCCCACCCTAGGTTTTAAGGTGGGTGCAAGACCCTGGSCTAGGCAATTAATTAGAGCTCACTTGAGACTTACCAAGTTCTAGAGGAAAACAGCAAAGCTGCTCTCTAGGACCATTAACTAGCCTAGTCAGCAGCTGTTGCTGGCTAACTTTGCAATCGTGAGAAATAAAGCCTTTTCAGGCAAGATGAACAGCGGGGGAAGAACTGAGATAGGTTCTGAGATCATGTAATTCCCGAGTCAGGTTGTACCTAATCTCTGAAATCCTTGTTATACAAGTCTATTTAGWTATAGATTTTAACTTGCAAATGTAAAAGACCTGCTTAATCATCAGTACTAATGAACATACCAAAGGTGGCGATGGATTAAATTATCACTTGCTCATTTAATGAATCTTATTAAACAGAAATTTGCAAAAGCCAAATTTAAAAATTATTAATACTCTTATAACCATTACTTTTAGTTGCTTTTCTTATTATTTTTTTAAAATAATAATAATTATTATTTTCTTATTATGTTTAAAAAACTGCTCTTGGGGTTGTGGCTCAGTGATAGAGGACCTTGGGGTTCAATCCCCAGAATGGTAGGGACAGCTCCCGGGCTGGGATATAGCTCAGTGGTAAAGTATTTGTCTAGCATGTCTGAGGCCCTGGGCACTAAAAACAAATGAACAACAAAAAGACAGAAAATCCTCTTATCAGTATACCATTTATGTCTTGTTACATGAAAATGACTTCTACCCCCCTTACAGTATATTCACTATTTAATGCATACATACATAATGATGCAGCCAAATGTCATTCCTATACTTAATCTATTCTGGGGGAATTTAGGCACTTACAACATTCTATTCTAATATTATGAAGAAAACCTTCAAGAGCATAGTTTTTAAATTATTCTTTTTATTTCCTTGGAAAGACTTATAAAAGTGGGATGACTAGAAAAGCTTGGATCATTTTCACGGTTCAATATGTACAGTGCTAAAACTGCTTTCTAAAAGAAGAGCACAAGCTAACAATTATAACAATAAACAATTTTAATTACTACCCCAGTTTTGGATACCTAAAAAAGAAAAAAGTCCTGTTATGTTAATGAGGTACATTACCGCAACTCTAATTGACTATTCTCCAGTGGTTAACAGTGGTATTTCCATTTTGGTGAGTTTCATATATTTATATATACTRTAGGCATTGTATCCACTAGGGCCTTAGGGTTGTCAATTTACACAAGATTTTCAGAAAATACTGATTTTTGTCTTTAGCCCATCATAGTTTTCTATATAACTTGCATTTCTGATAATGCTAAGTACCAGATGTTGGTATTACATGTATAGAATGGAAATTTAAGCCATTAGATAGTAAACTCATATACATACTATTATTTCTGCAATCTCCATTAAATCTACTGCCAAGAGCCTAAGGAGACTCTGATAAATCACACTACACTATTTCCACTATCACAAAGGTAAAACTTTCCACTATGAAGCAAGGCATCAGGTCCCACAAACATGCACACAGCATACATAAATTTAGAGATGTCAGGAAGTAAAAATACATTAATTACCATGCATCTTATGATGTGAATCCCTTTAAAATCATTTAAGAAACCAGTAAAAATATTTTAAATTAAGAAAAATATTCTTTTATCTCAATGATTAGGGGTGCTGTGATTAAAATTGTAAGACAGACTTTCTGTTATCAATTTAAATTGTAATTTAATTGGACAGTATGATAGGCTGACATTGGAAAAGCACAACTTAAAAAAAATTAAACTCCAGTCTTAATGTAAACATCTTTGATATCAAAAACTGCTTTTTCGGGCTGGGGATGTGGCTCAAGCGGTGGCACACTCACCTGGCATGCACAGGGCGCTGGATTCGATCCTCAGCACCACATAAAAATAAAGATGTTGTGTCCACCGAAAACTAAAAAAATAAATATTTTTAAAAAACTGCTTTTCTCTTGTCTATCAGTTGTTATGACCCACTCTGACTGCACAGATATTTAAAAATGTGAAAGATATGCGACTAACTGAAATACATTACTAAAGGCTGAAAAGTTGAAGTTAAGTAACCATAAACTGTCATGAAATTATTTCTTAGCCAGGTGTGGTGGCACATGCCTGTAATCCCAGCGGCTTGGGAGGCTGAAACAAGAGAATATAGAGGTTCAAAGCCAGCCTCAGTTAACTGTGAGGCACTAAGCAACTCAGTGAGACCCYGTCTCTAATAAACCACAAAAATAGGGCTTGGGATGTGGCTTAGTGGTCAAGTGCCCCTGAGTTCAATCCCCAGTATCAAAAAAACAAAAAAAAATTATTTCCTTGTCAAAATATTCAAGGGAGAGGGTAGTGACCAAGAAACTATTGGACCTTGCTGCATCACAGTATATTTCAGAAATATACTGATTTTAACATTGATTTCAATATATCCTAATTAAACAGATGTCAGCAGTTTCGGGGCCAACTTCTGGGCATCTATTTATTGAAAGGCTCAATCCATTTACTGACCTGTTCGATTTTCCCTTACTGTACATTATAAGAATACACAAATGTTTCAAGTGCCACAATCACCATGCAAACTTAATGATTTTATCTCTGAGTCCACATTTTCTACCATCATAATTCTTCACCTGGCATCCTTGAGCTGGCCTGCCTCAGCAGAGGGCAACAGCAGAGCTCCTGCATGCTGTTAGTGCTGGCTCCTATCTGGTTTCTCTTTTCTAGCCTCTGATGGTACTAATTCTGGCTTCCAATTCATTTCTGGACCAGCATATCCATCAGTTCTCAGTCTTGCCCTGTTTTAATTTTCCATCTATGTTTTAGTGAAAATGACTGAAATGTGACATTTCAGACACGGTAATATACCTTTCCTCCAYTATATTTTTCTTAAGAGCACTTTACTCAATTTCTTAGAGTTCTAAGAACATTCCTAGGTTACAAGATACTACCTTCCATTTCATTGTATATTATCCAATGCTACTGTTTAAACAGTAAGACTTAATTATTTTAATATTCTGGGGGCAGGGAAGGTAGCATCCAAAGAAGCCTATGAGTCAGTCTACAAATTATTTTCCTATATGCCACATATCTGGAATTTACATTCTTGAACTACCAAGTTTTATTTTTCAAAACCTTGGAAAATTTAATTTATACTTTTCAGAGGCCATCTTCTCATGTGTAAAACAGTTTTAATCGCTATATTGTCTAACCTAAAACACTGAGAATCAAATGAAATGCAAGATGAGTCTTTATAGTGTATATTAC